CGTAAATGTAGTCTAGAGAACCTTTCCGGGGAACCTAAGACCTTTGCAGGACCACTATTCTTTTGGGCCTGGGGTTCCGGCCATAATAGGACGTCATATTTCACCACCATGGTTTACCTAAGTCTTGTCATCCGAATTGGGTCCTTGCCATGGCAGGGTGCGGGTCCCATCCACTATCCTGACAGGGTCCCGAAAGACAATCTCTGTAAGGAGGTCTCGGGAGGGTTGTAGACAACTGAGGTTTGTTGGGCTTGCAAAGGCACTCATGGGAGCCTACCTTCCTTCCTTCACTTTGCCTGGTTCACCCATTTTGCTTCATTCGTGCTGTTCATCTGGAACGGGGGGGGCAGTACCCAAAGAGGACAACCGGGTTGTTTTGCCAGCATGGCCTTTCGCTCAGTCGCTCCCAGCACGGGCTGCACAACACCTGTGAGGTTTCATACTAGAGTTGGGAAGCGAAGGGGCCAGATGTGTTTGACTGAAGTCAGCTGACCAGTAGCCGATTTTGCGTTGCAGCCCGACAGCTAATCACCTCGTATTTAGCCGAAGGCCTTTTTGGCAATCGGCGTTTGCTGGATGCAAGTATCAGCTTCCAGGCCGTTTTGGTTGCGAGGGAGGAATTGAATCCTACCATCGGAACAACAACCCCTTTTTGGGGAGACCTTTGTTGGGGTGAGCAGAGCGCGACATCTCCCTGGAGCCACACTCCTGCGGCACCAACATGGCCAATTGGGCAGGGGGGTTTTGAAGGTGGGCTTTGGTTTTCCTTTTGATTTCCCTTCAAACCAACCCAAACAGAGTGCCTTCAAAAGACCGGCCCAATTGTTTGGGGCTGGCAGGTGACTACTGCGACATCGCGCAGTCCGACGCCGTGGGCTGCCCTTTGGTCAAGGTCGGGGTCAAAAGCTCGAGAGTCTAAAGAAATGGGTGTGGCTCAAAACTAAATGGCTACTCAGTTGTCCAAAGCGAATCGACCGGATCTGACCTTTTGGTTTTCCCATTTTGGGTTCCAATTTTTAGTAGAGGTGCCAAAAGGTTAACCTTTAGTTCTGGGTCCTTTGGGCAACTGAGGCTAGGGCAGACCGCAGCTTTTGGTCCATGTTTCCACTTACCAGGGCAAGCCATTTTGGAATCCCGGTTTTTGGAGCCATACCCATATACCATGGTATGGTTCCACAATGGCTTGGGCGCAGGTTTTAGTCTATGGTTCCATGTGCCAAGGTGCAATTGTGGCACTAGTGTTTTGAGCCACAGCCAAATGGGGGTGTCTTTTGTTGGTACCGTCCCAAGAACAAACATTGAACCTGCACAGGAACCGGTCCGCTCAAACGGAACATGGTCGGATCCAGGAACCGATATTTGTGCAGGTTCTATTGTTGGTTTTGGTTGATGGTCCCCTTTCTGGAGTGGTTGTAGGCGGAAACCACTTCCGGTGCTTCCATACTATAATAGCGGCTTGCCTGGAAGCACTGGGAAAGGGACACCAGCTTTGTGCAACCTAGAAGGGTCTGTCCTTTTTGATTGTTGGTATACCCGCTTTTTGTGGGTTTGCCTATGTTTTGGTCTTCCCGGAACACCAAGAGGTCGGAAGACCACACTCTATTTTGGGGGGGTTCCACTTCCAGCCGAGCCATCCACGTGCCAGCGGCTCACAAATTCCACCCGAAGCCGCAAAAAACAAGCATCCCCACTCCCAGAAATACGGAATTCGGGGAGGGGGAGTTCGACCCGATGAATTCCAGTTACGGTTCCACTTCCCTTTGGGAAAGATCAACGGAGTTGGAGTCCTCCCCCCTTATCGTAGGGGCTCAAATAAAGTTGGGGCAGGTTGGATCTCAAAATAAGTCATTTGTGTTATTTTGTGCAATAAGATTGTGGTGGTCCAACCTTGTCTGGAGCCTCTTACGGGGGTAAGCTGCATGATAGACGAGCGAGCGCCAGGTGGGCCCGGACGGCGCGGCGCGGCTCACCGTGCCGGCGCAGGGCTTCGTGGCCATCCACGTTGGCGCCAGAAAGAAGGAGCTGGAGGGCGACCTCGGGGAGGCGATGCGGGCGAAGGGTTTGCTCCGCCCGTTTTTGGTTTTCTTCGATTAGCTGAACGGATTTTTGTGTGTGTATTTGTTGCCTTGTTAGTGTTCGTTTGCTGAAAGGATGTGCTTTTTATTTTCCCCTGTTGGTTTTAAAGGGAATCTATCACTGCTGGAAATATTTCTATTTTTCCTGGGGGCTTAAGCCTTAAGCAAATGGAAGCCTTGCAGGTTGCAAAGCGCCTCAATCCCTGAGGTCATGGAGCTTTTGTCACTTTTTGGGATTGGACTGTTTTGGTGGCCAGTCCACTTCGGAAGTGAGGCATTGTAGGAGGTGGACCTTGCGTGGTGCCCGAGTGTTGCTGTCTGTGTGATTGCTTTTGTGCCTTTGAAAGTTATCATGCTCTGACTGACATGGCGCCTGAAAGGGGCGAACCACACTGGGGGGCTCCTTCAAACCAAGCAGGATTTGTTTTACTTTTTGCCTCGGGTTTCCTTGATGCTCCCTTTCGACTAGCTGTTTGCGGGGCCTAAGCCCGGCAAAGGAGGGGAAGCAGAGCATCATTCGCTAGCAAGACAGTCAGGTTTAGGACGACCATGTTTGGCATGCTGGGTTCAAGATCATACGTGACTCCTTCTGCTAAATGGTCGTTCCTTGGTTGTAGTATGTTGCAGTCGTGTTTCAGTACAAGCAGCTGAGCAACCATGAGGAACTAGGGGAAATCCAGTTGCTTTTGGCGGGGTGGCGAACTTCCTGCGTAGATTGGTTGCTATCAAGCCCAGACAACCCACCCACGCAAGCGAGCAAGCAAATAAGCAAGCAACCAGGCAGGCAAGAAATGAACCAAGCACGACCAACCAACCAGTGTTTCTTATTTGTTGTGTTTCCCAGGTTTCTCCCTCAGCCTTGGGTTGTTCAACCCATTTTTTGGGACCAAGCCACGTGCACGGCGTCCACATCAGCTGTCAGGTGCAGCTCCGAAAGCGGCGAAAAGCGCCCAGCTCGCGCTTCCTGATCTCCGCGCCTCGACCTACCGACCCCACGAATTCGAGCAATAAGTCCGGGGGGTGGGGAGGGGGGGCGAGGGAGGGGGGCGGGTGCAGTTTGTTGAGGGTACCCATTTTTGGGGTTGTGATTCACATTTGGAACAGAATCAACACATGTTCGTGGGCCGAGAATCAGCATGGTTTTTCCTTGGCTGAGAAGGTGTGCTTGGAGCCCTCGAAACGGGGTTGCAAGATAACCATACCTGGGGGTCCTCAGCAACTACTTTACCCAGTGCTTCCAGGCAAGCCACGGTAGTTGGTGAACCCTTCGGTATGTTTTCCCCTAGGTTTTACCATGGATGGTGTGGGGTGTATTTGAAGGTTGGCTATGGTCTGAACACGCTTTTGGTGTACCTGGGGGTTATGTCAAGGTACGCCACCCCAACGAACGAAACCTCGAATTGACCTAGAGCTTGACTCCTTGATGCCCCTTGTTTCCTCACTTCCCGGTTTGTGGACTGCATACGTGTGAAAAGAGTTTGGACTTTTTTTGGGCCATTCCGTTCAGCAATCCCGAAGCGAGCTTTGCGAGAACCTCAAGGTCACTAAAACAAACGGCGCGAACAAAGCTGAGGCCAGTAAAGCCTCATGGTGGTTAACATGGAACCTCCAAAAGTAAACTTTAGAACCCAACAGAAGATTCACTTGAATGGGCTTGCTGTCTCTTTGGTGAACCTATGGCGACCTAGGGCCCAGTTCTGACTGCTGTGCAAATTAGATCAAATCAGGATGAAACGCCAAAAAGGTGGGTTCCGTTCTTATCTGCAGGGGGTGTACTTCAGGTCGGTGAATCTCCATGACTCATCAGATCCGATGTCTATGAATTACATATAGACATTCCGACAATATGCATGGGTGTGTTTTTGGGGTTTCGACGCGAAACCAACTTTTGACCCATACTCATATCTCCCTAAATCAGGTTCACCAGAGGCTTGACTTTTGAGCTCGAGGCCGATGGTGCTGCTCCGAGCTGGTGATGGCCCCCATCTCGTTTTGAAGTCTCACCTGCTTTTGGGGCCAGGGCGTGGCCTGAAGGCCCCGCTTGGCCCGAATCTGCCAGAGTTCCTGACAGAATGCAACACTGGTTCAGAGCCAAGGGGAGCGATGGCCCTTGATGACCAACCGAGCTAATGAGCAGGGGGTGGCCAAACGAGGAAACTGCAGCTTTGCAATCACCCACCAGTTAGGTTGCGATGGCTCCCCAGATGATAGAAGCTGCGCGTCGCGCACCTCGCAGATGCAAATGCGGGAGCAAAAGTGCGCTTGGCACATGTGGTGAATGTTTTTTTCAGGGGCAGTCCCAGCCAGAAATAGTTGCGGCCGCCTTCTTAATTCTTTACATGATTCTGAGTAGGCCATTTTAATAACGGGTTCTGATTGTGACACATGTGGTTCCACCCCGGGGCAACGGTGGCTGGGGCTAAAGTATGATGGCTCACCAACCCAAACTGTGTTCCTCAAAAAAGAACCTTTGTTACAGATCTGCTCACGCATGCCCTTATGCTTGTCCCACTGATTTCAGCTATTGCTGTGGCAGGTTCCAAGAACCCACCGCCCAAGAGACCGCCAACCAATATTGCGTAAAGCCGACCAATTGAAGGTGTTTTCCCATGCAGGGTTTCCCGCCAAGATATTGAAAGAGTGCATTCTGGGCCGGGTTCTTTGGGGCAGAGACGTTGCAGTCCCGCACTTACCCTATACTTTTGGGTTTGGACCGTGTTAGTGCCAAACAACATGTACATATGGCCATGGGTCAAAACCTCTATACCCCCAGTGAACATCCCAATCCCCACTAAAATGGACTAAAACCGGTGGTGCACCTACCCCAAAATGGGATCCTTGGTTTTGACAACCACTGTCAATATTTTTCTCGCCAATCCGCTCAGAAAGTGCGGTCCAGAATCCGAGAACGGCTGACCGCTCCAGGAACGATCGGCAGCTGGTCACGGCTGCGCTCCTCTGCAGCGGCGCCAAAGTCCTTTGCCACGCGTCGGAGGAGCTGCGCTTTGGCTGCGTGTTTTTTTCCTCACATTTTTGTTCCGCGTTTATGTTTTTCTCCCCCGTTTTTTTTTTCCGGGATTCGGGCTATTTCCTTTTGTGGAGTCCTGAAAAGTGACGACCCTTTCAATGGCAACCACCAGCAAATGGGTCCACTTTTGATTTGTTGAAATCCAGTGACCCCGGTTTTGTTGTCCTGCGTTGCGCGCAAGGTAGCTCCGTTGGCGCTGGAGTCCATAACACAGCCGTTTCGGGACAGTTGGGGCCTGCCCATTCCGAGGCAAACCCACAGACACCCTTTTTGTTATGTACACCCAATGTCCTCTTCACCAACCTCAAGTAGGGTGCCCTCGGGATTGCAGCATTGATGAGGTCAGGGGGCGTAGAAATGGAGATGTTCCTGCTGCTTTCCTTGTAAACTCCCGCCAACAGTTAGGCGCTCAAAAGGCTTGACCGGTGGGGCCTGTGTGTAGGGTCCCAGATGTGGGGTGCGGCTCAAGCTTTTTGGAGCCAGTGGCCCACAGGCTTCAGTCCACTTGCCCATGTACAAGGGTTCCATTTTGGGCCAATTTATGTTTTTGAGCCACACACGCCCACACGCCGGATGTACGATATATGACTGGCTTTGACCCGTTCTGGCAACCGCAAAGCTCCTCATGCAAGCCCAGCAACATGTCAGTGAGCAGCATGCCCTGATGACTTCCAACATATGTCCACGTGTAAATTATCTTCATGAGATTGCTTTGACCTGCGCCTGATGGTTCCGGAAAATCCTGACTTCCACAAAGTAAACAGTTAGCAGGGACAGAAGGAAGCCAACCAAGGTGAAACAAATAATCACACACTTCACTGCTCGTGCTCTGTGTACTCAGTGAATGGAAGGTGGATTTTTGGTGAAACCCATCTACCCACAGAAACACAATTAATTCCCCCCCCCCCCCCATTTTCCAGCTCATTCGATCCCCACCCACAGAAATCTCCGCCCACCCCCCTCCGCTTCGGATCGCGCCTCTGGTCCGAGGCAAAGTGAGCTTAAGACCTGGCCGAAAAAATGACATCTCTCGACGGATTCACCTGGCTTTCGGCGGTGGCGTCCTCTCCAATTTGTGCGTTTCCCAATCCCCAAAAGAAACCAATGGGTCTGCTATGGACGGCTGGAACCCAAGAAAGGGGTCCCCTGCGTTTTGGAGAGTCCTCAAATTACAGATGGTGGCTTTTGGGATTCCAGGTCCATTTGATGGAATCTCGACATTTGTTTTCAGGAAATGTCATACGCCTGTCCCGAAAAAATGAGTGACATGTCATACCCCAATTCGACCGTTGGCCAGACATGCCAACAGAATTGACCATGAGGGTAAATGTGGATAAACATATTGTCGGACACATGGATTGTTTCGGATAGGGGGCCCTTTGTTGGACATGTAGGGGTCTGTTATGTCCACCAAGCACTTGGGAGTTGTCATACATGTCGCACCAACTGCGATGGATGGAACCCTACGAGTGGGAGACACCACTTATCAAGTGGAGGAGTGCTAGAAACATTGCCTTTCGAGCCAATGGAGTACACGTAAGGAGCCTTGTTGCCATAACAACTGAGTTGGTGTGCCTCTAAATATAGGGGAACCCCAAAATGGCTGGCTTCCGTTTTGGTTCCCCTTTAACACCAACCAGCAGGGGGTTCCCGGACCCCCCCCCCAAATGATTGCCCATTCTTATTTCTTTAGAGCCTCGTGTGAGTATGTAGTTTTTCAGAAGAACAGGCGACCTGAAAGCTCCGACTTATTTTGGAAAGAGGGAGTGAGGTGTCCCTCCCACGTCCTACCACCACATCTTCGAAAAACCGTGTCACAGAGTTACATTTTTTTTGGTGCCATATGTGCCATGTGGTCCCCTGTTCGCTTCCGATTTTCTCAGGACAGACTTGTTTGGATCCTATCCATTGGCGCGCGGTAGCCTTTACTCCGATAACTGGCTTCTGGCCATCTATTTGCGATTGAAACAACCGTACCCATCAAGCATGACACTGTTGAGCGTTCCGACTGCCTGCTTGCAGCTAGGGTGACAAAGATGCAGCACCCCCCCCCTCTAGATCTGTCAGAAGAACGGCAAGTACTTTAGGAGTTTAGATGAAGATCAAGCAGAGAGCGATAGTCCAGTTGCTGCTTGTTTTCAGACGCGTTACCCAATAATCAGTCACTATCAGTCACTGTTGCTGGGAGAAAAACAGCAATCGGCGAAGCAGCAACCTGCGGTCCAGGTACCTCTTCGGTTGATTTCAAGTTTCAACCAACTCGTTTTCCCTGAAGATTCGGATTTCCCATCTTTCAAACTTAGCCTAAATCGCTTCGCCAACAAACTTGGCCGCACAGACTTTGGCTAGTGGCCATGTACAGGATGCCCCATTTTTTTCTCCAGCAAGCCAAGCTGTCCTTTGTTTTCTCTTCGCTTCATGACAGCCCCTTGGGGGCCCCATGGCGGGTGAAGCCATGTGAATCACAGCCCCTTAGGGGCTTGGACCAAGCCCCTTGCTTTAAGTCTTTCCCCGGGCGCCTCGGGCGCCCAACGCCATGGGCGCTGGATGTCCTTCAAAAACGAAGAGGCGGTCGATGCCTCAGACGTGTAACGTGCGGGGGTTGGCGAAGCGGGTTACGGCGAAGACGGCGACTTTGGCTCAGACCAGAATGCAGCCAGTTCCTTTGCCACTCCTTTGATTTCTTGAGCATCTTCCCTTTCCTTTGGAGGTTGGGGGGTGGGGGGGTGGGGCTGGCATTTTTGAACTTGAATTCCGTGTGGCTTACTTTCTTCTTAGCAGCTGAACCGAGCATGGTCTTGTGCCAACGCCGGGAATGACGCAGACCTCCAGTGGTTCCCTCGTTCGACTCCATTTGACAGATGACCAACAACGGCAGTCGTTTGTTTTGACATCAGAGTGATGTATGCTTGGGGAGCTGGGTGCCAGATGGCCAACAGGAACATTGATTGAATCTACTCTTGGCTTCTGCAAGAGATACCCAACAGGATGTTGTTTGAATAAGCTTAAGCATCTTCAAATGGGAGGCGGGCAGCCCTTGGGATGGGGCATGTGTGTTCCTATGTGCTTTTGTTTATCGACCAAACCCGCTTGACACTTTTGGAGAGGGAACCAACACTCCATGGCCCTCTCAATACCCTCGCACGACGTGCCGAAGTTCAGTGCGCTGCACTCGCACCGTGCGCTTCAAGTTACCTACTAAAGTGGCAACTGGAAGTACTGGGATGAGTAACCCCTTTTTGGATTGTTTGCAAGGGGCACTCAAAGGCAATCACCGCGTTCTAGAGGCGAGCCTTCAGCTTTTGGGGGCGGTTTGTTGGGCTGTTATATGCAGAAGAATCCTTATTTTGGAAAAGCAACACAGCCCGATTCATTTGCCACGGCTTTTATCATTTGGGATCAACACATTCTATGGTTCCGTGGTTCGCTTTGTGGCTCCTTTCGTTTGATGGCTGCGCATGCGTTTGGGGACAAAGCCCATGGCCTCATGCGAGTGGCTGGTGCACATTGGACCTCCAGGTTGTGACTTCTGACAGGTCACTTTCCGAGTCGGAGTGCTTTAGGCTTGGACTGTCTGCAGCTTCCTTTTCAATGTCCACACCATGGCACGGGAATTATTTTCCTAGTTGCCTTGGTGGGTTGCCATTGCTTCCCCATTGTTTCTGAGTGCCGCCAATTAACTTGGCAAGCTTGGAAAAAACTTGGAACCAAGCTTCCGTTTAAAAGGAACAATATGACTTGCAGGACCCCGGAAGGTCAGGCTCCGTGTTGATTCGGTGGGAGGGTGCACTTGGAAGTTTGCGAGCTGCCCGCAAGAAGCCAAACAGGATCGGGGATCGGGGATCGGGTTCGGGACAGCGAAGGTTCGATGGCTAGTACCCATCCAGCTGTTTGGTATGGCTCGCTTTTGGTTTGGTATGGTTCCCCACTGATTCCCCACCGATGGGCAATGCCATGAAGAAGGCTCCTATCTCTTGAATACTCCCTGGACAACTGAGACTGGTTGCAATGGAGCATGACATGCCAATGCTTTGCCATGCAAATGCCGGGATAGATTGTCTCACCTCTCTCGAGGTGTTCCACCCCTGGTCCTCCGGCAATTGCCATAATATGGCTGTGGGTCAAAACCAATGGTACCATTTTGGGGCAGGTGCACCACCCATGTTACTCAATTTTGGTGGGGCTTGAATCGGATGTTCACTGTGGGTACGATTTGGATTTTGACCCATGGCCATATCTAGTTGTTGCCCAGCCCACCCTGCTTTGGGTCCCGGTAACGGTTTGGGCGCCGCGCGCAAGCGCTGGTCAGGTGGTTGGAGCAGCTTGCCCTGCAAGCAGTCGAGGTGTTGTCCCAAGTTCTCCAGCGCCGTTTTTAGCCGTTTTGACGTAAGGTTTCCTTTAAAAGGACCTAGTGCTTCCAGTTACACCTATAGCAGGCTTTCTTAACTTTGGGTTTTACATCATGGTTTTTGCCTGGTTGCCTACTATAGTGGTAACTGGATACCTGGGGTTCCCTTGGCAAGCCGGAATAAGCCAAAAGCGCCTTTCTATCCAATAGCCAATTGAGGTCTGGGGTTTGGTTTGCTTTGGCTGACTTGCGCAGCCCCGTGAGACCCCAGTTTCTGGAATTCAGACTTCAGGGGAATCTACCTACGGAGAGAGAGCATATCAATCTCCACAGAGATTAGAACGGCATTCTGGTTGATTCGTGGTGTGGTTTCTGATGATCCCTTTGTAACATACCAACGAACCTTTGATGGTTTCATTCCCACGGTGACTCATTTCGTGGTGCGGTCTCAGCTACCAAGGAGCTGATCCAGCTGCACCTTTGCTCTGATCACGCTGCAGAGGGCTGGTCCAGTCCGCTGGTGGCGAATTTGCCCATCACCCGCTTGGGGGACTTACGCCAGGAGGACCCGAGACCCGGGGGTGAAATCTTCGGGCGGGGGGGTTGGGGGGGTTGGGGGGGGGGGTTGGGGGTTGGGGGGGTTGGAACCAATGTGGCCAACTCCAATTGTATAGACCCATGTAACCATGTTGTTAGAACCGAAAGACAATGTGTTCCTGGGGGTGCCTGTGACTCATGCGGGCTTGTCTAAAAACCTGGAGCCAGCTTCCCATGTCAGTGTGTTTTGGTTTTTCTCCGGCGCGCGTCGCCAAATTGCAGGACATCGCCAGGTATGTTCCGATCAGGAAGGACCTGGTGTCGACTTTGAGCCACGAGTCCACTGCCACGAAGATCTACCAATGGATCATGGCCTACCAGGAGGGGCCTGTGATGTTTCACAAGCGTTTTGTTCTTCTTCTTTTTTGCGGTTGTGGAGGTGAGTTTTCTTCCCCCAAAACAAGCAGTGGCGGGTTTGTTGGAGTCTAAGCTGCTGGTAGCCGCTTGTTTTTGTTCGCCTCTTTCCATTTGGAAACCGAGAGCAGCTGGGGGTCAAGACCTGGTTGTCCCCTCCGATGCTCTTAGCGGGTCCCCGCTAAGCCACCCAAACCACTTCGGGGCACGGCGTCAACTTGCTGGTGCACACCCGGCGAGATCCAGATCCCTCTAAAGCAAGGCATTCATCATTAATCAACATGGTCCCCGTTGCACTCATAGGATCCCAACTTTGGATTTCACCAAAAAGAACAACCGCTGGAACGAGGAGGCATTTTGATTGCATAATGGTGGTTTTGGGGTACCAACCGTCCTCTTATATCTATCTTTAAGTTCTTGTATTTGTTCGGTTTATTCAGAGTGCACGCTTGTCTTTAAAACAGCAGCGAGGCTCTAAGCAACTAGCTGCAAGCAAAAGCAAAACAAAGGCAACAACCGGCAAGAAACAAAACTACAAGAAACAGGAGCAAACCAAGCAAGCAAGCAACCAAGAAGCCAAGCAACCAACAAGCAAGCAAGCGACCAGCCAACCAAAGCAATCCTAGGAGAGCAAGAGCTACCTGAGCTACACCCGCGTGAACGCGCGGATCTTGGCCTGCGAGTTGCTGAAGGAGTGGGCCTACGCGCACCGGCATCTGCAGGATCGGGACGTGGAGATGCAGGCGGTGTGCCGGTACAAGGAGTGCTTTGGCACCAACAATCAGGTTCTCCGCACTTGTTTTGCGGTTTTTAAACGAAACCCAAGAGGAGAGCCACCGTTTTGGCCCCCCCCCCCCCACGCGCGCACCCATATAAATGATTCTGGACACCTTCACTTGGTGGTTTGGATTGGTAGTGGGGAGTTGAACCCCTAGTTCTTGTAGAGGGAAATCACTCTAGCCACCAAACCTGCAATTCAAAGCATCGGCCACAAGGGATTTGCCCCATAGATTTTTGATAAGGGTCGCTCAGATGGGAGGTACGCTGTTGGGATGGGGCACTTTTTTGGGGTTTCATTTTGCTGGGAAATGGTTTGCGAGGAAGGATATGCGTGCGCCCTTGGGGACTTGGTTGGTTTCAAAGTGAAGCCAAACGGAAAACCACCATTTTTTTAATTTTGCACATAGTACGTGCACATGTAATATCTGTAAGTATGTTAATTAGTATGGCAGACGGGAAGTATCCGGATGATGTTGTTTTCTGCTGACGTGCAAAGAGTGGTGGCGTTAGTACCAGAAAGCCCATTTCACAGATACCCAGGGAACATTAGGTCAACGCGATACTCACTTGCAATCAAAGCGAACCGACCTTTTGACCTTTTGGTTCCCCTTCTTGTGTTTGGTTAAAGCTCCTAGCCTTAAATAGTTAGCCTCTTATTTCTAGGTCCTTGGGCAAGTGAGGATCAAGTAGCCATGGACATGGGAATCAACTTTGGCATCAGAGGCTGAGAGTCCAGAGGTCAGCCACGTGAATGTCCAGGTGAAGATGGGTTCAGGCTGCCACCTTCCATGAGTGGCCAAGGGGCCGCTCCGTGAAGTGCTAAAGATGACAGAAAGGGTTGTGGCACATGCGGATGTCCGAGTGAGGCTCAAAGTTCAAGACCTGGGGTTAGGTTTTAGCCTTGATCTATATGCCAAGAGGCCATTTGGGGGTATGATTTTGTGAAGCGCGGCAAAGTAAGAGACAGGGGCACCTCCAAATGTGACTTTCCTTTTGGTGCCCCTAAATCATTCGCCACGCTGGGCATGCGCCGCTGTGATTTCGGTTCCGTGAGGTTCGCAGCCCACTTGCTGTACTTCCACGAGAAGTGGTGCATGTCTCAGAGGGCACTCGACACGGAACGGGGGCGGAGCCTCTGAAACCGGATCTGTGAGCCATTGCAACCGCAGAACGTGACGAGTGCCAATAGTGCCTTGGGGGGCCATTACTTGCTGGTGCGATGGGTAGGGAATGACCGTTCCGGGTGCTGGGAATGAGCCGTTTTGGGATTCCCTTAAAGGAAGCCAGAGGGGGTGGTCTTTTGGGGTCATTCTCTTATTCCCTGCTGAGAACCAGCAAGATTAACGATCATTGAGGATCATAGTCCTCCCGGGGGTCCCCAGCGTTGCATCAAGGAGGGGTTCTGCAGGGTCTCGGGCGTTCATTTCATATGAGGCTTGCGAGCAGGGGTTGCCTCCCCAGGATTTCCTTCAGCCCGTGTTTGTCTGTTTCCCATTTAGGGCGGTTGAACAGTGGCATGAGGGGGACCCCGAGTTTCCCCTGCGCTTAGGGGGCTGACCTGTTGAGCTGCCAGCTGAAAGACCATTTTCTTCATAGGCCAAGCAAGAGAGGGTTCCTGGCCATGACTTAATTACAGCCCAACTTCTGCGAAGAGCAAGTTGATGACCCACCCGCTTTACCCAACTTACAATCTTCAGCTGGATGTCGCATACCAGGGCTTTTTTTTTGGTCGGGAGTCGGCGGTGGTGCGTGCCGTTGGTGCGCGTGCGTTTCTTGCCGTCTCGGTAGGGCGGAGTCGGAGCACGGGGCCACGCGGTCCAAGTACCTGGGACAACCCCACGGCATCCTGCGGAGCAAACACAAGGAGCAACTGAGTCAACTGGGCCGATTGTGTTTTTTTCTTCCGAGGCTCGGTACCCGTCTTTTGGTGTGTTGAAAAGGGAAACCACAAGAAGAACCACCACAGAACCACCATGTTGGGCGTGCCATCGGGAAAAAACATAGACACACCCATTTTAGCCATTTTGGAGCCTTGGGTTCACTGGGCCTGTTGTTTTGGCCGAGGCTCGGTACCCTTTGTTTTGTGTATCTAAAAGGGGAACCAAACAGACAACCGCCGCCTTGGGCGTTCTATAAGAAAAGGACTTACCCATTTGAGACTTTGAACATGGGCCGAGTCATCCTTTAGGACACCTAAACAGGTTTGCATTTGTACCTTTTCCCCATTCCTGCCACCTTTGCCCGCTGGCAAAGAGCTCAGCATTCGAGCATTTGTGTTGTGTCGCCATTTGGCTGTGTTTTGGTTTTCCTTTTGGCTACTATTCAAAAGAAGCACACACACACACACCAAAAAAAAAAAGGTGGACCCCTCCAAAATTGTGGTTTCCCTTCTGGTTCCCCGTCCATCTTTGGGGCGGAGAGGAGACCTTTGTGTCGTTGCTGGTGAAGGTGCAGGAGGCTTTAGCCAAGCTGCAAGTGCACCTCGAGAAGGACCTTCGCTTGGGGCGTTCGGTTCTCCGGGGGCGTCGGACGCTCGGAACCGGTGTTTCCCTTCTTCTTGTTTTTTCTGGCCCGGGCAGGGGTAACCCGGTCAGGTGGCTGGCTGGCTGGCTGGCTGGCTGGCTGGCTGGCTGGTTGGTTGGTTGGTTGCATCCCACCGGCCTATTGGCTTTGATTTGGTGGCGGTTGAGAGTTGCTCAGTGCTGATTTCGTGGCATGCTGGACAACCCCATCCTCGACGCAGTGACTTGAAACCAAGCCATTGCCAGCCAACCCACTTGAACTTTGTTGCCGATTCCAGGTGGTGTTTGGGGACCCCTTACAGTGGTCAGGGTTTCCATGTCCCTTTCTGGAACCTCCTAAATTGGCGCTCATTTCACTGAACACCACTAGTAAATTGATCAACTTGACGGGGCAACCCAGTGATCCCTGACCAGCACCTCCCCCCCCTCCCCCCAAACAGAAAGAACAAAAGAAGCTTTGTCCCTTGTCCAAAATCCGAAGTATTGTCCAAAAAGCAGTGGTTGGGGTGGGGGCTGGTTGCCTTTACTGCAAATGTTCTTTTTTTACCCGCGAGTTGACTCTCTTGTCGGATTTGTTCGGGTCAGGCTGAGAATTCGGAGTCACATTGCAGCGTGTTCCTGGGCCAAGTGGTGGAGCTCTTTCAGAACCTTTTGGACCAAGCGCCTTCGCTTGCACGTTTGCAGGCGAGGAGTCAGAATGTTGCCGGAGCAAAGGCTCGCTCCTCCTGTTTGTTGCGTTCCTTTTTTCTCAACATCATGTTTGCCTGTCAATTTTTCCTATTATTTGTTTTGCCATGTTGGTGTTCCTTCATCTTGCCACAGCACCAGCAAAATCTTAACTTTGGTCTACATCTGGCCCAGATCATTGTTCAGCCACTTGTGCGATACCGCGGAACCTTCCCCTAAGAATTCGTCGTTGGGCAGGTCTAGTGGACAAGTTTACCAGTGGTCTGGTCTACCAGTTGGTTTTACCCAGTATTTCGCTCCAAAAGCATCACTCAGAAACTTGCATGGAAACCTCGCGCCGAAGTCCTAGAAAAGTGGATTTCAGCGTATTCCCGCTCACCGATCGAGAGGTATGATTTCCAGGTTAAATATGGCCTACGGGCATCGCAGGCGAGTTGCTACTCCTTCAAATCTAGGCTGAAGATGACAATTCCTCAGCTGATGATGGTTTGGGTATCCCTGATGATATTTTGAGAGGGGCGACAGGGAAATTTGGTGGTTGGCAAAAAAAACAGAGCAACCACTCCATGTTGTTAATTTCTCTTGGGGATTTGCTTGGCGCGTTTCGGGATCCTCGGCACTTTCTGAGGCTGCGGGGATTTGCTTCCTGGGCCCCACAGAGCACAGCCAGGCCTTGCCCGTGTCTTGGGGGTCGTTGAGGGGAAAAAGGGCAGGGTGGGATGACTCGGGGTTTAGCCAACATTATTTTTTGTGAGGGAAGCTCCCCCTTTATGTGGGGGGCTGCTGTCTTTGAGCAGCTGGCGTCCCAGATACACTTTGTACAAGACTCAGTAAGTTGTGCCGAGGCTCTTTGTTCTAAATGTAGTTCGGCGAGTTTAGCCTCAATTGGTTCTTTATGACCCTTAAATTTTAGGGTTACCTTCCCCATTCTTTCCAGGCGTCCTTCTTTCTAAAAATCCACCCAGAACCCTGAACAAACAGCTGGTTTTTGAAAAGAAGGATGGTTGAAAAGAATGGAAAAGGAATCAACCCTTAGAATAACCCTTAAATGGGTTGAGCCTGCGGTTTTCGGCGATTCGAGTCCCTCAAATGGCTTGAGCCTGCGATGGAACACTCGACCCGGGTCGCAGGACCTCACGGAAGGGCACGAGGACTTCTCCTTGGAGGTCCTGGCGAAGCAGCGGTTGGCCATCCAGGGCCACCAGAGCCCGGGGCCCCAGAAAAAACGAAGCGGAGAAGGCGAATGGCTTCTCGTGGGGAAAAAAAGCAGGGGGCGGGGGACCCCAAAATGTGTGCCTGTGTGTATGTATAATATATATATATATATGTAGATATTTGCTGGTATGCTTTTTGGGAGGCCCATCATGCACTTGTTTGTGGAGCCCAAAATGTGAGAGTGTGTGTGTTCTTGCTGGTATGCTTTTTTGGAGGCCCATCAGCTTCGAATCCCTTCTTGGACCTCCGATAGTTGCACCTTTTTTTTGTTTGTGTGTGTTTGTGCAATTCCAAATTCCAAGCCACCTGCATCTTCTGAAGGGGAAATCCAGTCGACACACCAAAATCGAGCCCCTGACAGGATTGGGCATTTGGGTGCGGAGGAAGGACGGTAAAAAGTGGCTGAGCTATGGCGTTGCCTCGAAGTAATTGCACGAAAACTTGGCTCAACAAGAAAGAGGTCGCTGGCTAATTTGAGTTCAAGTCCCTTCGGAGCTTCTGGGCTAACATTTGGTAACATGACACGTGTCCATCTTTGCGCTTGGCCATGACGCACCAAGAGACAGTTTGGACCAGGGTGAAAGTAGGTATATAACTTCCTTTCTGTGGGTAAGAGGGGATTAACCAAAATAGTTTTGCGTTCTACCATCTACTTCACCTACTCACTTCTTGAGTTCATGGACTTTATACTTTTTGGGAAGGCCATTTTAGGAATTGAGCCTAGCTGTAAATCCTAGGGTTAGAGTTGAACATCGACGCTTTCGGCGTCCCCCTCTCCAGGGTTCCCACTATTTCCCCCTTTGATGTTGTTAAACATCATCTGGTTGCCAAATCAAAGTGAGCTTCCTTTTGGATATATATATATATACATACATACATATACATATGTTCTTTTGAGGGCAGCTTTTCTTTTGACCTTGGTTCAAACATATCATAGATCTGTCCTTTGAGGGCGCCTTTTCTCTTCGCCTTGGATTTTTTGTTGGGACACCACCAGGAACATACCACCTACCCTTCAACGGGATGCTCACCCAGCCAGTGTGCGCACTTTACACTTTTTCCCTTGGTGGCTCTCCCTTTATTTTCGTTGTGGCCCAAAAAAAGTGTGCACTTTTTTGGGCTGGTCACCTGCAGCCGGGACTGGAGCTGAGGCGAGGTCTTCTGGAGCACGGACTGGGGCCGCGTCCTGGACGCCGCGCTGCGACAGGGAGACCCCGAGAAGTTCCAAGCACTCGGCCCGGAGACCCGGCGCCCACGAGGGACGCGGCGGCGGGGGGTGGGGGTGGGGCGGTGGGGGGGTGGTAGTTTGAGGCGTTGAAACCCCTTTGGTATGGGGAGTACTCATGGGATCTTGGTGAATTCTTAGGTCGACCTCACACGACCCAAATGGTGGTTTATGTGTGGAATAGCCCCCGAACCACCTTATTTCAGGCGGGTGAAATATCACAATTCACCCAGATGGGATTTATGGGCTTTGGTACTTTCTTTTGGCCTCTTTGGTTGCCTGAGCCCCTGAAAAATTGCGGGAAGTCCCGAAATTGGGGCGAAAGTGTGTTGTTTTGTGGGTAGTTTGAGGGCCCAGGCGGTTTAAAGGGAAAGTCGGTGCTTGGCTGCTTGGTTGGAGCTTTGAGTTTTAACTTTGGGGAAGCTTGGGATCTTTTGGCAGGTTAGGTTCGCCAGGGGCACTCAACTGGGTATTTGCGAGCTGAACTGAGGCTCTTGGCTGATCTTCTACCAAGAGAAGGGCACTGCGTGCGCCTGGGCTGCAGCTGAATTGGTTCAAAGATGAGGGCAACTTGTAGCGAGGTGGGGAGTAAACCAAGCTTGCCATCGTGCCGGTTTCTTGATGCCTTCTGTCCGGTTTGCAAAACCATGCCCAGAAGACTTTCAAAGATCACAGGTTGATGCCCTGTTTCTTAGTTTCATGTTTTTTTGGGTTGCATTTTCCTTCAACTTGTGCTTCAAAAAAAAGAAGAAAGCTCTCCTTCAGCTTGTTCCGTGAAGATCGGCTCAAAGAACTTCCGGTGCTTGGCGCTTTGAGGCAAGATGTGCAGATACTACTCCCAGCCGGCCACCCAGTCCCGGGAGTCGGACCCGCTTGACGAGAGGGATCTCAAATCAAGCCACCCGGGGGGTTCCGATCGAGTACTAAAAAGTCGAGTACTAAAACTACCCCCTACACCCAATACCCACGTTTTTCAGGGTATCATGTCGACCCTCTACTAAAATAGGAGGTATTTACCATGGAAACCCAGGTTTTCCCAACAATACCCTAGAAAAAGTGGGTATTTGGAGTAGGGGGTAAGAGTACCCTTTTTTCCTATGCCACTGGGGATTTGGAGACAGAGCAATCCTTTTAGTACGGTCTTGCAAAGAGATTCCTTGACGATCGTCACAACTCCAACCAGCTTCATGTTGGCGGGAAACAAGCGGTGACTTTCGTGAATTAAGGCCATGAGTCAATCGCTGATGTCAACTCTGATTGCCTCGTGCTTGATGAGCCCCTGAAATTCACATACTTGGTTTGTATCATTACTGTCATGCATTCGTGAGCGTGTCGCCCCCATGGCTTTGAACTGCAGCATCCATGTGCCTGGTACAGCTGGCATATGGCCAAAGAGGCTTCCACGGCAACGTGTCATGCCACTGGACGGGATGGCCCTTCAAAATGGATTATGACACTTCTGAAACGCCGAAAACCCCGTTGCTTCACGGGTGGGTCAGGGTGTGACCATTCCCGCGTCAAAGAATGTGGAATCTCTTTGATACTACTTCATACGTTGAGATTCACCAGGTAGGTTCCAGAATGTAAAAGTGTTCGGAGGTAATTAGCCAGGTTTGACGGGTTGGACTACAGCCCTTTGGACGAACAGCCTGAACCCCAGTACAACCCTTGTTTGGACCTACTTACTGGTTCACATCAAAGTTGGAGATGAAAGGGGGCTGGCCCTCGAATTTCTCGGTGAAATAACATGGGAAGGGCCCACCTTGTAGTGTTGACCCCGCATTCACCCGTAGAAAGCGGCGGTGTTCCCCTTGAGAAGCGATGAACCCCCCACTCAAAGGTGACATCCCCTATCAATCAACCAAGGGCTGCTTAATCCGGAGCTCCCATTACTTGCAGTAAAGCGACCCATGCATGTCCTCTCCCAGAAAATCCCAGCTACCAAAATAGCTAACCCTTCGACATTGTCCTTCTGGTTTTGCTATTGGCCGGCAAATTCCCTTGGTGACCCACACCTGAACATAAAGCTCACTGTTCCCATCTCGAAGTGGGTTGTCCTTTTGGTTTTTCTATTGGCTGGCAAGCTTTGTTGGTTATCTTTGCATTTTGCTTGGATGTTAGGACTTTAACTTTTTGCCAACGAATGGGTTTTCCGAACTAAACCAGTAAACGTTAAAAACTTTTGGCAGCAAGGCAGAAAGCAACCGAGTTATACAAAGCCACGGAATCACTGGGCCTGGCGCGGCTTCCAAGTCTAAAGTCGGTGCATCCACCTCGGCGCGAGCGAGCGTTCGGAGACTCAGTGCGAGGGGCCGAGCTTTTCGTTTCAGGTCCGCGGCTGAGCAGCGCCTGCGTCAGATGCCCCGGGCGGCCATCTTGCTGGGCCCTGGCCCGGCCGCTCCGGAATGGTTTAGAGGGGGGTTCTGTCTGGGTTCCAGAGAAGCCCTGTCAACCCAGACCTCGAGCGGCGGCAAATTCTGGTTCAACTTTTCTTTGGAGGGGTTCCCTCTAAGATTCGGTGCAAATACTTTCTCAACTTGTCTTTGGGGAGTCCCCTTCAAATAGTGGGTTGCTCCCTTTGTCGACTGTTTTTGTTGAGAGGGGCGGCCCTTTAGACTGTTTTAACTTTTTCTTGGAGGGGGGTCCAGGTTTCCCCTTTTTTTGTTTTTGTTTTTTTTGCAGGGAGTGGGTTCCCTTTGGACTCAACCACAAGCGTGGCTCTTCCTAGCCACTGGGGGCTTGGGAACATACCCCGGCGAAGTAGACGGCATTCCCTGCTAAGAGGAGGATGGGGGCTGACTGAACCAAAAACGGGGAAATGGTGGAATGTCCCTTCACCCAAATGTAGCCTTTTTTTTCCCCCGAAGAAGTGGCCAACATGTGGATGCATCCATATTTTCCGAGCTCTCTATTTAAGACCCATGGGAGGGCTTCGCCCTAAGGCTTTGACACCGCAGGCTTACCCAGTGCTTCCAAGTGCCAGTATAGTAGCTACCAGGAAACCATGATGTAAAACCTAGAGCTAAGAAACCCTTACCTGCTATGTTGTTAGCTGGAAGCACGGGGTTGGAAAAGGTGGCCAGTCAGTTGTTCAGTGAAAACCTTGAAATCCCTTTCTTGCTTGGGTGGGCGGAATTTCCCAAATTGTCTCCGCAGACTTCTTTTGAAGACCCCGGGTTGCAATTCCCCCCCCCCCCCCCCGCCCCAAGTTTTCCAGTGTCCTTTTTCGCCCAAGAATATCTCGTCCAAGAAAAACCGCTTCCTGTGCTTCTCCTTGTTGGTAACATCACCTTTTGTGGCCAATTTCATTTGAATGTGGGAGGGAACTGCAGACTGGAGTGTGAGAGTTGTTGCACCGCAAAGCGACCACGTCACTTTAAACATCGGAGGTGCCGTCCGGGAGCCTCACCGGGAGGGTTTGTGCGGGAATATGTGTGGAGGACCAAAATCCTTCCGTATTGTGACAAAGCTTTTCCAAAAGGACACGTGATAGTTGTCCCTCACCCCCCAAAAAAAACAACAACAAACAACATCACACAAACCGCAGGTGAGCTTTTCAGGATTTCTCGAACCACACCCCTCCCCACCCCAAAAGCAACCAGGGGCACACAAAAAGCAGGTAATCCTTGGCAGCTGTTTGTCTTCAGCCCTATTTCCACTCAACGAGAACCCATGCGCTGCATCGCTTCCGAGGAGTACCGGCGGACCTTGAACCGGAAGGATCTGGAGCATCAGGTGGAGCCGCTCATTGAGGTGCCGTAAACCGCTTTTCAAACGCGCCGAGGGGTTCCAGGTTTGCTGTGGGGCCGAGGCGTATGGCGTATGCCTTTTGTTCAGGGTGGGGGGGAGGAATTTTGTGTGTTCAGATGTTTATGACTATCATAATAATTAGTATCATGATTATAAACTATTAGCTATACCCCCTACTCCAAATACCCACTTTGTCTATGGTATTTTTTTGGGAAAACCTGGGTTTCCATGGTAAATACCTCCCTTTTTAGTAGAGGGTCGACATGATGTAGGGGGTATACAGAGTGAATTGTCTGTGTTTGTAAAGGTTGATTCATGTATAGGGGATGGATAAGCTTTCAGTTTGTCCAGCCCAGCCCTCCCCATTCTTCAGGTACCTCTTGTGGTTGGATTGGTTTGGGTGGGGATTCAAACCCCTGGCTCTCGAAGAGGGCAAGTGGGAGACCGCCCCCTAACCACCGAACGGACGAAACATTTACCAACATGCTCCGTTCAGGACTTTAGGGGTGGGCCAAGTGACATGCTCATGTGTGTTTAGCGTGATGTGAATAGTGGTGAACTGAAAAATCGGCACCCGCAAAACTGAAAATGTCTATTTGGTTTCCGCAAAAAAAACAAAAAACACCACCGCAGGTCAATTCAAAAAGGCATACCTTGGCACCCGCGCTGCCGCAAAAGTGCCCCTTAGGGATTCCATGTTTGGGACTCCTGGAAACATATTCCTCCAGGCAGACGTCAGGAGATCCTGGTTTAAAGGAATTCGTAATGGTCGTATAGGTGATGCCAGTTTATCCCTTGAGCTTGCTGTAACTCCCACCAGGATCTCCTATTCGATTCATACGTGTTATTTGTCCAAGGGTCCTGACATATTTCGCCTCTTGGCCGGCGTGTGCGTTTCCAACCGGGGTGATCGGTGCAATTTGAGGCCTGTTTGAATCGGGCGTTCTGGTCTTTGGGAAAGCCCCAGGACTGAGATAAGAACCTGAGACCCAAAACTATTCCCCAGAAGCTCCCCCTTTTAAACCTTTTTGCTTTTTTGGGGTTTTCTTTGTTTGCCACTAACCAGGCAAAAAGTGTTTTTTTGCTGGGGTCCTAATTCCAGCCTAGAATTCCAGCCTGATTCCTAATTCCAGCACTTGGCGATTGCCATACCCTTAGACTTGATGGAAGCCTAGATGAGTTTGGAGTGTAGAGTGCGCGGTTTATCACTTCCCACCGAAAATTGGCACAAACACGTTCTATGGATCAACCAGCCACATTCAGTTCGGACAAATCCCAGAAGCGCGACCGACCCCTGGCCCCTTTTCGGGTTTCTACTTACCCAGACGCTCCTGGGGCTTCCAATGGAAGACCCAGACTCCACTGGACATTTCCGAAGGGTGTTGGGGTCTCAAGACCCAGGTTGGACCTTCTCTGAAGGAAGAGAAACCTTGTGCTAAGCAGCCCGCAACGTTTCATTTGCCCATTCCGGACCCCCTATTTAGCGTCCAGGGCTCCTTGCAATTTTGCCCATTTGAAACATGTTGCTTTTTCAACACCAAAATAAAGGGAATCCACCATTTACAAGTTGCCATGTTCAGGCGTTTTTCATGCCTCCAAATCCCTGTTGGCCCCAAATACATCGGGAGCGTCTGGGTACGTTTCTCGCCAGGCCATCGACGCCCATTTGCTGGTGATCGGCGCCAAGGAGCCGGAGCTGAACCAGGCCGGAGCTGAAGCTGGGGTCGTTGGGATCGAGCCGAACATGGGGGGGCTCGGCGACCGTTTTTTTTTTCCTCCCCCCTCTTAAAAGCAAAGCAAATGGGGCTCCAAATGATTTTGTTGGCTTCCCCTTTGTTGCATTTTGCCAAGGGATGTTGGGACTTTAGCTTTTTGCCAACTAATGGGTCTGCCATTACACCGCTAAAAGTTGAACTTTTAGCCGGGCAGCAGAAAGCAACCGAGGCTGATTCCTGTTGGCCTTAACCCCCAAAAAAACGACACAGCGGTGATCACTTTTGGTCGGCTTTCCACGAATTTGATCATTGTGCTTTCCATTGTCTTTTGTTATTTGCTTGGAACATGTCCCAACCCACGAAACGCCAAGCTTTAATTTGTGCGTAGGGGGCAGTAGCCACTAAGCGACGGTGCTGGAGCACTTGCTGCATAAACTAGGTGCAAGCTGCTTTCTGCAGGGCTAAGAGTTGTTCTCCTGTGAGGTGTCCCTTTGGGTTTATTGTTTGTCAAGGTGCAAAAGGCGAAGTTGTCCGCTTTCAGGTCCTCTGGGCAAGTGATCAGTTGCTTATTCACTTTCACCCGGCTTTCCCTGGCTTGACATATGGCGGCCCATGCCGGCCCGTGGCTGCTGCTTAGTCCCAAGGTGCCGGAAGTTGCGGAGACTGACACCTGTCCGCAGCGGGATCGGTGATCGTCTCGAGCCCAGTTCGGGTCAGTGGCACCATTTTGTCAAATCCTTTAGTCGATCGCCTTGGGACCGGCTACAAAATGGAGTCAATCCCAACATGAATCAACATTTTGCTACGGGTGACTGGACGACTGAGCGAAGGTTTAGAGGAAACGAGCCTTCCGTCACTGTGCAGGCGAATAAAACAAAAAAACAACCCAGAGTGGCCTTTGTTGCATCACACCCCTTTTAGATAATCTGATCTGCTTTCCCAGGGAAATCCAGTGGTGTATGGTTCCATTTGTGTTTGATATTCGGTTTTCTTCTGGTCCGACTAATTTTGAGTGGGCTGCAAAGATTCAACGAATCTAGCTTCGGCTCACAGGCCAAGGGTTGGGGAGCTTTCCTTTGGCGCAAATTGAGGGTTCTGGGCAAGGTGTAGGACGCAAGCGAAAATCCTCAATGTGGTTAGTGAGAGTGTAGCCCTGGGACCCCTCGGCATCCAAGGCTTCTAATCACATGGTACAACTGAGTTATAGCTCTCACTCACTTCCTGAGTTCCTAAAAATTGTCACTTCATAGTTTTTGGTATGGCAACTAGAATGGTGAGACTGTTTTTGGCCAATCCACTCAGGAAGTGCGTGGTTGGTGTGTCAACAAGTTGTAGGAGTCAACTGCGCCAGCCCTGTTACTTCTCGGCGGGGCAACACGGAACCCGAGAAGGAATTTGGGTATGGCTCAAAATTAGAGCTGGGGCCAACTGCGGGTTTTAGTGTTTGGTTCCATTTGCCAAGGTGCCATGTTGCTACCACTATTTTGAGCCACAGTTTGATGTTTAGAATCAACCGATCGAATCCTTGATCCTGCCGGAGGCGGCTAATTCTTTGCGCTCGAGGCGCCCATTTAAGGTCACTTTAAGCAGGGCTCCTTGAAAGAAATTCCTTTTGCAACCATTTCAAACATGTTGCTTTTTCAAGACCGAGATAAAGTTGGAAACCACCATTGACCAGTTGCGGTTCGATCGGTGTTTTGCATGCATCCGGATCCCTGTTTTTCGGTTTCCCTTTCAGGTCACCTTATGGGTCCCGCTAAAACCCTATCCCTTTGCGGGGGCTAAAGGGGAGCTGAATTCCAGAGCTCTCAGAAATCCGAGGACGGGGATTTGTGGGACTTCTTGCAGAGCGAGACACCGGCACCGTTGGCTTCCAGAATCTTACCAAAGCAAACTTCCATTTGTTGGTTGACACTTGCAGGAGGTCACCGCCCCATTTGCTCAAGTTTGTTTTTTGTTAATAAACATATTTTTCCGTGTTGGTTTTAATCATATGGTTGTCAAGGGCCCCCCAAAAGGGGACCCCCAATCCTAATGGGAGCTAATAGCGACTAATAGCCGCTAATAGGGTCTAATAGTTACTATTGGGTTTTGACACCGTTTTTTTCCAATAGAACGCAGTTAGGGATACCCACCTGGATCTTCCAAATCATGGAAGTTTAACGTAAAATCCGAAGACGACCGCTCCTGGAAATGGGTTTGCGCACCTGAAGACCCTAGACATCGCAATTATTCGGTACTTGACGGAAAGAGCCCTTCAATTCAGAAATACTCAGAATCAGAATCGTTCACATGAATCAGGATCAATTATTCAATTCAGAAATCAGAATTATTCAGAATTCGGAAGTATTCAGAATTTGCGCCTTTGGGTGACAAATTTCCAAAACCAGAAACACCACACCCGAAACGAGTCAGCTCAAAAAAAGACGGAAATTCCGGAGAATGCATTGTCAGTAAAAGCAATGGAACACCAACTTGAATGCACAAAGTTGCATAATTGATGGGGTTGCGCAATGTTGCGCACAGAGTTGTATCATTGCGGGCCCAAACAACGAACAAACACAACAAGACGTGTTTCCAATTGTTTCCCCCAAGAACCACTCCTAGTTTTTGATGTTCACTCCTGCCTTTTTGCAAGCCACTCCTGCTTTTTGATTCATGCATTTGAACACCTGAAACTCCTCGTTTTCAGAGGGCCTCCTGACACGTAGAACGGAAAAACAGAGACATAACCCGGAGACGGAAGACCCAGGCAAACATAACTGTGTCAGTGTGTCTCAGTCCCCAACACGCCGCCGCTGCCAGCCTTTCTTCTCGATTTACTTCTTCACACGTTTGCGCACGGCAGTCGGCTTCGGCTTAGCCGTGGCCGATGAAGCAGCTGCTTTTGCAGACGCTTTTGCCGATTCTTTTGCACTTGCAGAGGCTTTTGCCGATTCTTTTGCACTGGCCGCCTTCGGTTTGCCTTTTGGCTTTGGGGCAGGCTCGAGCAATCCAGTATTCACGTCAAATCCTTTCACAACCTTTCGTATCTGAGCATCAGTGGGCCTGAGCAAGCAAATCAAGTGTGCTCTCACACCACTTGAGTTGACACTGAGCTACTGACATAGATTCACCAGCACTCTCCTTCAGCAAGAAGTGCTTTGTCCAGACAAAGTTTAAGCATTCCTTCAAGGCATCCTCTTCTGATAGACGGCGAACAGGGCCGTCCCACGTTGCGGCGTGGGTAAGGGCGAGTCCCTCAACTTCACCTGTTCAGGGCGCAGCTCAAAAGGAAATCGAAAGGATTTGTTTGGCACCCTAGACCCCTCCCAAAAATCTTGGTGGGTTTAGAAGTACCAAAGACTGGCGTGTAACGTAGTCGGACATCTATCACTACTGGAAATTATTCAATTTTTTCTGGGGGTATTAAGCAAATGGATTCCATGGAAGCAAAGCAAGTCTATCTTGGCCAGGTTGGAAGGGAGCCAGAGGGCTGGACTGCATCCCAATATTTCATGTACAGAGGGAGGAAAGGAGCTAGCAAGTTGGTTGATTCTCTTTGGTTGATCTATCCACCTACCGTGTCTTGACAGATCTCCCAGCTTCGATGCCAAGTGTCAGCTCCTTTAGTGGCTCCCTTCCAACCAGAGAGCCACTCAAGAC